AAAAAAAAAAAGGCTGAAAAGGTCTGAAAAATAGCAATTGGCTGCAGTAAATTCCCGCTGTTCCAGCAGCGATCTGCCGCCTCAGACACGAACGCAGATCCCTGGTCGGAGAGCAGGTGGTTTGAAAAAAATTACCAGAGAGAAACAAAAAGGTCCTAAGCGTTTTCGGGCATCCATCAAAGTTTTCGCAAACAAATAAGTAAATAAATCGATCAGATTATTCTGCATTAATATTTTTACTGGATGTGCATATTAACCAAAACACACTGATGAGCTGGTGGGTAGCAAATAAGGTGAAATATCCAAATGCAACAAATAAACTGGGGGCAGTTTTTGTTTAACACGAATAAATAAATTACAAAATGAATACATTCAATATTTCAATCTGTTTAATATATGCTGGTCTTACGCAGAAAATTTTCACCGGTCTCTTCGCGTCTTCACTCCACGGTTACAGCGACCATGACAACAAACATGGCTTATACACGCATTTTCCCTTCCCAAGGGTTATTTAGTGCGGAGGATTAAAAAAAAGCAGTCTCAAATGAGCAGAAATTAAATTTAAAAATTGTTTTAGATGCAATCAAGTTAGGCCCAAGTGAATTATCTCACTTTAGATAATTTAATGTGCTGTTTATCTTGATGTAAGATCTGAGCGTGTTTGAAGTTATTAATATTTTAATGTTATAAAACTTGGAAGTTAAATCCCAGATATTATTTATGTAAGCTGTGCCTAAAATTATATCTCAGGTATATATTTAAATAAAACAGGTTACCCTACATTTTCGCTTATGTCTAAGTCCACGTCTAAAACGACGCTATTACTTCTATTATTTGTGATGTTTAACAAAATCAGATGTATTTTCTGTTGCTCTGAGACTAAGCAACAAAAAAGTCTAGAAAAATGCGCACTATATGCAGTCCTTATCAACAGCCATTTTCACCACAATAATTTAAATAAATAGCTCTACATTTTAATCTTAATCAATAGGTAATGGGAAATTAGCTTTCCAAAAGTCTGTTTTTTCATCTTTTCTTTTTAAGTTATTTAAACATAAGCTGAAATATGAAGAAATATTAGGCCTACCTGAAGGTTACGCTTATTCCAATCCAAACAACCAGGAATGATATTGCACCGAGTACCTGTTTGTTTATCGAACATGCCAAGAAAGTGACCCTCCATAAAAAATGGCAACATGGAAAAAGCAAACAAACAAAACATATATCGACCGAATTTAGCTCTGATAAGAGGGAAAGAACTTCATTGACTTTTCAGAGAAGCAATATGAACTGGAGAGAGGAGGGAAACTGATTTGCATCCTCTTCAGAGAAGTGCTTTGCTGATCGACACCGAAGAGAAGGAGGTGAAGCGTCTTTTTTTTTTGCGCTGAGGGAAGCAGAGAGGGGGTAGCGCGGTTTAGCCGCACACAAGCGGGAAAAATCCTTGTCACCTTTCAAGAAAGAAAATAGCTGTAGCCTAAATTAAACATGCTTAATTTATTTGTATAGACATGTTTGGTTTTATATATAAATTACGAAAAGCCATTAATCAGACCATTTAAAATGTTATACACATGGGGACGGCAAGACCACTGCAAAACTAATTAATTGACTGCAAAATTAAAAAAAAAATAATTGCCTGGTCATGGGAATAAAACACTTCTGACAATACGTTTCTTTATATTTGGTCTATATGAGCATTTTGACTCGGGGAGAGAAAACAAACAAAAAAAAAAAATCTTTTCTTAAACTACATTTCCCATAAGGCGTTTCGGTGGAGGCGAGCGCTGATTGGACAGCACCGGTGTGTCATTTTACGTTCATAGAAACAAACCCAACAACAGTTGGATTAAAAATGTGTGTGCCCAACGCTTTCATACGAAGAAAGAAACTCTGAAAGGCCTGTAGACGTTTGTACATCTCAGGTTTTGCCGAAGGAAGTGATGCTGCTGAAGTTAGGAGTAAGTGTGGCATGTTTGGATATTTTACATGGTTTGCTTTCACGTTAACCGCTAAGTAGTGCTACATGCTAGCAATGAACGAGCCCAGTTAGAGCGAGTTTAACGGAATCCCTAAGAGTTTATGTTTGCAGTTCACGTCTCCATGTCTACTGTAATGGTTTGTTAACAAATAATATTTTCATTAAACAAGCAAAAATTGTTGTACCACCGGGGTTGATAGCGCTTTTATTTTATGTTTTGCCAGCGAGTCAAAATAACACATTTAGCTTTTTGTATCAGTGCTTTCGGGTGTTATGTTTAAAAACGGTGTCATTTCAGTTTAAGTTTGAACGTAGTTTACATTTTAATGATTTGACTTATTTTGAGAGAAAAACTTTATATTGCCTAATGCACGAAGTGTAGTATTTTGCTGGACGTATGGCGACATCACGCGGTAGTACGAGAAAACTACAATGTCAACTGTATGCAGTTGAAAATGTGAAGACACATCTTTGTTTACGCTTTTAAGATTGAATGCAGACTCTGTGTTATCTCATTATAGGAACAGTTGTGATTGCAAAATGAATTTCTCTGAGGTCTTTAAGCAGTCCAACCATCTTTGCAAAGTTTCCCCTGATGGAAAATATTTGGTAAGTCTTTTTTATTGTTTTATGGTAAGCCACGTTTACAGTGGCAGAAGTATCAATAAATATGCAAAGTCTTGTAGAGATGCACCAATCAGCACTTCTCTGGCAAAAGACAATTTCCAGTTTTCTTTGAGGTCTGACTTGCTGAAACAGATTTTGACTAGTTTCTTCCACCATGGAATGTTAAACAAAAAGGAGAAAAATATGCTGTACGTTTTTTGGTAACAGTAGTAGTTTTGAGTCTAACAGAAAATGGTTGAATTACAAGATTACACATTAAGGTATATGTAGTTCGCCTTAATCTGATTTTCAGAAGTTAGTTTTGTGTCATAGAAAGAATAGAAAAGCTACCATTTATTATTTCAATGTTTTATGTGCTGATCATGGGGTATCGTCTGATTCCAACCTTTGTCTAATTGATTGTGTAATTATAGGCCTGTTCTTCTACAACTTTTGCTTTTTCTTCTACAGGCTACCTGTGTACAATACAGACTAGTTGTGAGAGATCTTAGCACTTTGCAAATCCTGCAGCTCTACACCTGTCTGGATCAAGTGTCACACATGGAGTGGTCCTCTGACTCTTTGTTCATCCTATGTGCTATGTACAAGAGGGGGCTGGTACAGGTAACAGATGCAAGTATAACCCAAGATCCGGATTTAAGTTTAGCAATTTTATTATTTTTTAGGGTATCTTGATATATTGGGTATATTGAGAATATTTTTTTAAATCACATTCTGATAAGTGGTTCCCAAATTCTGGGTTGAGTCCCATTTGAGTCTGCGACAATTTGGAGTCTTGGGATTAAATAAAAAAAAAAAAGAAAGAAAAGCTAATAACAAAAGCATATTTATGCTGTACATTATTTAACAGACAATACTAGCAAATAGATACAAATCTGGCTAATTATGTTTATGTTATCAATGTTTCTGTTTAATTGATATCATTTATAGTCAAACAATACTTGAGTATGGGTCGGAAGAGTTTGGCAACCACTGTTTTAAAATTCATTGAGTATCATAAACATGTTACAGATTGCTATGGAAATTCTGTTTATTTTTGTCACAGAAGTTAATCTAATAAGCAAGCAAAAGACCATTGTTCATAATTAAATTGTTTCCCCCTTAAAATCCTGTGGTGTTTAGAGTGACATTCAAAAAAAGCTGATGTCAAAACCATATAATTTATCTTTTTTATACAGCATGAATTAGTTTTGTTTTGTACACTTTCTTTAAAATTATGAATGGGCAATATCTTGGTAAGATGCTTTGTTTATGATAGTTTTCTCTACACAGTTTTCTATACATTAAAGAAATTTTCCACTTAAAAAAAACAGTAAAAGAGACAGTTATAAGTATAAGATGTTTAAATAACTTGTCAAGGCTGGAAAATTATTAATAAAGACCACACTAGTGGTTCATATTAGTATTTTTAATGATACGTTAGTTTTTCATTAAAATATTGCTAATTTAAGTTTAAAAATCCTTCAACATTACAGCCGGAGATTGGTGCTTTTTATTTAATAAATTAATTTTAGATAAGATTTAAAGTCATTCGTTCAAATAAAAGGTGAAACCCAGCTGTTTGTACTGAAACACAAAGAGATGAGTCTTAGGCCTTTGACATTAACAAATTGGTCTTAATGTGTATGGTGTCTAAACTTTATACCTCTGACATGTTACTTAAAGACTCCAGTCTTATTTTTTATTTCAAATACATTTAGATTGTGTGAAAATAACAGAAACATATCTGTAGCATTTTCATTGTCAAAAAAACCACCTCAGAAACAATAATCACTGGAATCAGTAATAATTAGTTTTTAGCCAAAAGCTCAGGAGAAATTAGTTGTCACTATTCTAGTGGAAATATTTTTTTTCTTTTCCTTGTGAACTCAGTCATGCTGAATATAGAGGAAGCATCTTACCTTTGAAAGGGCATCCAGTGCCAGTCTTTCATGGTTTCGAACTTTCGCTCGTCTTTCAAAGCTTAAAATCAACGGTTTGAAATTACAGGCGTGTCTATAAGAACGGCTACGGCAACTGCTTGATGGTCATTCTTCTGCCATTGTCTCCCTCGGCTGCGTCGTCGTCTTCAGGTGTGGTCTCTGGAGCAGCCGGACTGGCACTGTAAGATCGATGAGGGCTCAATCGGACTAGTCTCCTCACGCTGGAGTCCAGACGGACGTCACATTCTCAACACCACCGAGTTCCATGTAAGTATGAAAGTAGTTGATGCTCGGGTGCATGCATCTAATGCAAGTGTTTTTATGTGTGCGCTTGTTTGGTTTCAACTGTTGCTGGCTTGTGAGGAAGGGGAGACCTGAAAATAGCCAGACACCAGAGCTTTCCTTGACTGCCTCTACGCCCCCCTGACCCCCACCTGCTGCATGTATTCAGCCTGATTTCATTCCTCCCCTCCTGTTAGCGTCCTGTCATACATGAGTCTCAAGTACCTTTAACATATGGGTGAAATGTGTGCATGCTCTGTTATGATCCTAGCAAGCAAATTCTTATAATAAACTTACAGTGCTGATACAAATGGTGAAATCACTTAATAAAAATGCCAGCTCTGAAAAAGGGGCCACTCAAACGTTTCTATTCTTTAATTTTTAAGTAATTGATTTTATTAAATAGAGTTGGCTGGATGGATCCATGAGTCTGCTGCCTGTCAGTAAAGTGATCAAGTTTCTTCTGTGAACCTTTGAGAACTCTTGACCATAGCGAGTGTTTTGATGCTTGCAAAGAGTTGGTTTTCTCCCAAATATTTACAAATCTGAGCATCTGGTGCAATAGTAGTGATTCACAAACACAATCTTACTCTAAAACTTGATTGTAAAACACTTTAGATAAAATGGAGAGATCAGCTAAATGAAGGATCAGGTTTTTCTTCTGTTTCTCATTCTCTCCCTCAACTGTTTAAAATCTAATTCCTCGAAGGATTTTATTTTTTGTTAAGAAGCTTCTAATGCTTTTACACATGTTGACACCTGATGTTATATATCCACTATTTTGTAATGTGATTGGTTTTTGGTTGTTCAGAGCTTATTTGTTGCTACTATGTGACCCATCCTTCCTTGTCAAAGTTTAAGATGATTTTTTAAGATTTAGCAAATAAAAAGGAAATTCTTTTATCATTTGTCTAAATGGCAGAAAACTTTGAATTATTCCAAAGTAAGTCCACTCTTTTCCACACTTTTTTTTTATACAAAGATGGCTGTGGGCTTTAATATTTTGTTTATAGGTGAACTTTTCAAATAATGATGTAAAAAATTATCTCAACTTCAACCTTCCATACACTGTCAATAAGCTTCAATCAAAGCAAACTAAATCACCTTGTGGGACACACACAACAATATTGTATGATGATAGACTGAATCAAGTTGGTGTAACTACATTCTTATTATTTCTTTTGTTTGTGAAATCCAGTTTCTATTCTTATCTTTTAAGCTGACCTCACCTGCGTCCCTGTTTCACTCAGAGCTCCTTTTATGCTTAAACATCTAAACTTTTACTTTTTTGCTTTTAACCAAATACAAACGGAGAAACGCACACAAAGGGAAACGTGTTTAAGCTTATGTATATGCAGCATGGTACAGTTTATCATCTGTTTAGAGATAGACACTTTCAAAATGTGAAAGTAATGTAATGACTGCATAACATCTAAGACATGTGTGATGTGCGTTTATTTACATATTTGTAACGAGAGATGTTTTATTCCACTCCCCTAAATACTTGGAATCGGTTTGATTTATAT